CTATGGCATTTTATCAAATTGACTATGATGAAGATACAGGGGTTTATTCATAATATAACGATATATTGAGAAAATAAAAGACCGCACACATACATGTTTGATTTGTAATTGTTGTGTGTCTTGGAGGGCAAAAGCAAGACACGAAAAAACTTTGAAACACCAAAATTATTTAAACGAACTTAATAACAAAGAAATTACAGAACCGAAGCAATCAACAATGGATTATGACAAAATAGAATATGACAAGGAACTGAAACTTTATGTTTAATCATTAACTAACAAAATTTCGTGTCTCAAAAGCGGTTTGTTTATTCCTGCTACTTTGTAAGTTTTATTACCCATAATATCATATTCAATTTTATCAATATTGAATATTTTATTAGACCATTTAGAGTTATACTCCTTTCTGTCGGTGTAATTACCCCTTTTCTTTTGGAACACTTTTACCTTGTCGTTCTCCTCTATTTTGGGATACTTTCTTTTGTTTTTTTCTCGTAGTTTAAGATTGACCTTTACATTTATTTCATTGTCGTCCTTGTGTGCATCGGTCGGTGTCATCCTTGTTGATGAGTGTGATGTGCTGTTATACTGTTTCAATGCCGGCGTTAGGGCGTCGGTCCATTTCATGTTGTTAAACCTAACTCTATCGTGAATTTTGTTTTTCATCGTTCTAATAAAACGCTCGGCCACATTTGCGTGGGTCTTCGTGACGATGTGGTTTATTCCTTCACTGTTGAAGAAATCCTGAACTTGATTTTTAGTTGCAAACGCTCCGTCGTCATCAGAATACACGGACATCGGATAACCCATCTTTTTAAAGCTTGTTCTCAACGCCTTCAAAACGTGCTCTCCGTCTCTTTCCTCCATCGGTATTACATCTGCTAATTTACTGAAGATGTCAATCACGACTAAAGCATACTGTGGAACGTTCTTGTCTTTTGCTAAAGGAGACATATGCATTATGTCTATTTGATATTCATATCGTGCGAATGGAGCAGTATAGGAATTAGTACCTCTATAATTTTTGATTTGTTTATTTGGCTGTTTCTTTAAGAAAGACTTTACATCGTCTAATGTTATTGTTGGGTCTTCTTCCTTTGCCTTCTTGTGTGTCGCTTGTGTGCTTCCGAAACCCTCGTCTAAGTCGTAATAGATGTTGCTGATTATTTGGTCTTTTGTTAATCTCGCCATTATATTAAATTGTTAGAAAATATTTTTTCAATATAAAGCCCCACCCCTTAACATAAAATACAAACTACTTAAAGAAAAATGGATATAATATAGTAAGAAAAAAAAATGACACTGTTTAATTATGATAAATGTCCTTGTAAAAATAAAAAATTTAAGTCTGTCGTGGCACTAGCTAATATTTTACCTGTTGATGTTTGTAATCTTATAGGTGGTTGTATTAAACCAACATGTTTTGATTGTCGGTATTTGATAGAAGAAGAAGAGCATTTTATGAGTGATAAAAACATTCCTGAAGAAGGACTAGAAAAAGCAGAGCTTCAGTTAAACATTATTCAACAAATACAAAATAATGATATTACACAACTAACAGGATACCATTTTAGTTTAAAACATTACAGAAAAAACATTGACAGAGTATTTGATATACAAGAAGTTAAAGAACGGTTTAAAAATAGAAAAATGTATTATCAAGCATTAAAATCATACTGTAAGAATAATGAATATGAAGTTTGTGTAGTTTTAAAACATTGTCTTAAAGTTGAAGAATTAAAATATTGGAAACAAAATGGATTTTGCTTTCCAAACCTAAACAGTTGGTGGTCATATAGAAATAACAATTATTATTTGAGACATATTCTTAGCGATTTAATTGAAATTTACACAGACCAATTAATAAAAGGATACGAGCATTATTTTTGTGAGTATAGTATGAGTTGTTATAGTGGTTGTATCGCTGGTGAGATTGAATACGGGTCAAATTAACTTTTGTTTATTAATATTATTATCTTATAATATGATTAAACATTGTTTTATAATCTAACAAGAAGGTTAAGACATTTAAATTAAACCTGAAACCCAGACCAGCCGACCAGCAACCCCCTAGCCAATGAGAGATGTTAATATTATTTTTAAAATGATGTATGAAAGAAGTAAGACAAACCAATTAGATTATTATCCTGAACTGAAATTATAATCATAATATAATAATAACATGTAAAATCTTATATGTTATAATTATACTGAACTTTTAACCTATAAAACATAGCTAGACAATCACATAAAAATCACATAAAAAGAAGTTGTTAAGATATATTAAGAAATGGTTGTGAAGCAAACTATAATGAATAATTATGGAATGACAGAAGAAAAAGCAACAGAAGACTATGGTGAATTCTTCAAATGCAACAGATGCCTTTATGATAAAACAATTGATGAATTTGGAAATGTAAAAAGTGGAAAAAGATATAAATATTGTCAAGAGTGTAGAACGAAAATAAATAATTGTAGAGATAAACGTCAAAGAAAACAAACGACCCAGCAACACCCCAGAACTTGATAACTACTAAAAGGGTCAACTCTTTCAAATGAAAAAAATGTTTGCCCCCAGCCCAACAATGAACAAGGGGGTCAATTACCAAAATGATTACCTTAACGAAAACGATAAATAAGCTCCCTAAAAACCCTCTTTTAAAAACGAATAAGGGGGAACACAGATTTGAGATGAACATAAAAACCATAACAGGCAACCCTCAACAGACTTCCCCCCAGGCCCCCTACTTCTTCTATTTTTTGGGGGAGGGTGGGGTCGGGGGTAAGCCAGGTAAAAGCCAGCCAGTGGCCAGGGGGAACAGGGTTCATACGTTGCGGGCTTGGGTTTGAAGTAAGGAGCCTTCGCGAAGACAACAAATCAGGCCAACCACCTCAGCTCTTGCCTCAAAAAAAACAGTCCATATTTTGTGAAACTCAACATTAAAGACCTCAAAATCATTTCATAAGAGATTCCCAAAAGGCAAGAAGTTGGACTCCTCTCAAAAGTCCAGGCGTGCTGCATCCGAAGTGTGCCATGTGATCCTCGCTGATGTGATTCGCTGGCCTGCGGTGATCGCGGGTTCCGTGTTTGAGTTGCCAGTCATCACTCACCAAGCACGCGGCCTTTGTCATAATGCTTGTAATGGTCTCCGCTGGCGGCACAAAACACCCGAGCGCAGCTGAAAGGAAGCTTCTCCCCCAGCGGAAAGCACGAACACCCGCCAAGGCTTGGGAAAAACCTGGCGAAAGCCATTAGAACGACCAGTTGATAGGTTCTCCACCTTTGATGCACTGGACCCCGCGATCAAACCCTGCGCCCAAAGCATCGCACACATCGTCAAAGGTACATGGCTCGCCGTGGTTGAGCCATCGAGCAGTTAGACCCAATGGTCATCAAATTTGGGCAAACAACAACACCTGAGAAAAGGGATGAACGAGTGCAAATGTTTGACGCCCATCTAGAACCAAGGGCAAGTCGAGTGAGCAACATCACTTTAAGCTTAAACCGAGCAAGTCGAAGGCTTCTTTTCCCCGTGTGAAACGATCCGAACCTGTGGACCGGACCCCCTTTCAAGGACCGGTGGATTCTCTTGAGACTCTTGCCATGGGCAAAGAGTTTATCAGGAGTTGATCAAAATCCCGTTCGGCCCCCAAGCTGACCATGGGTCGCTTTTCCCATGTGGGGAAAACATCCTTTTGTTGCTTCTCCCCATGATCATCCCATCCCATACTGTGGATGGACAAAAACCACTTTGCACCACTTTGAAACCATGGTTGAAACGATGGGAAGGTTGGTATTTACGTTGGGGAATCAAATCAGAAACCAGGGCTTCTTAGGTGGTGCAGGACATTCTCAATCCACAGTGTGGCTGAACGAAATCCTGAATTTCCTAAGAAGCCCTGGAAGCATGATTTCCCGGTAAATACCAGCGAGCTATGGCTTCCCATGGATTCAAAGCGGCGCGAGATGGATTTTGTCCATCCGCAGTAGGAGCTTTTGATCAACCGCCCAGCCGCGCCTTTGGATGGGCGCGGGTCCACCGGCGCCGGTGGTCATGGACTCGCGCTCCCGCGTCTGGCGGGTGGCACGGGTGGGGTTGGGCGCGTGCGTCCAAAAGGGTTTGGAATTGGAGTGGGTTGCAGTGGTTTGGAGTGGGTGGAGTGGGTTGGATGGATGTAAATTGGGTTAGTTGAGGTTGGATTCGGCAAAGCTAGCTTAGATTAGTCGAGATTGCGTTGAGCAAGTTGGATAATGTGGGTTGCATTGGGGGGTGCGTTGGGTTGGGTTCGATGGGTTGGAATTAGCTTGGAGTGGTTGGCTGCCTGTTGCTCGGCCAAACGGATACCCCCTCCCCCGCAAAAAAGTGAGCTTGTGTTGGCCAAAAGGGGCTCTGCGGCTCACATGACGTTTGCCACCCCGGCCCACACCATGTGTGTGTGTGTGTGTGGTTGATGGCAGCCTTTGCAGCTTGAATTCTAGATGAAAGGGGAACACGCAAGGGAGTCCACAATTTTATTGTCCAAATCCCTATTTTTCCACCATGGGGCCAAACGCCGGGCAAAAGCACAGCAGTTTCCAGCCTGAAAAACCCCACGCCCCCGGGGCCGCACAATGGTAAATACTAGACAAAGATCAGACTCAAACGTGCCATGGTCAAAACTGCTGTGGGCAATGGCCATGTCCCTTGGTTGCTTAGGCTCTGAGATTGATGACCATGCCAAATTGGACTTCAGCAGTTGGTCCTTTGACCATGGATGAGTCTCCAAACTGAAGGTCCCCCACAAAAGCGGCAATTGGGCTCCGATCGGTTTTCACAACCAGCTTGCAAGCCATATTTGTGTCGACTACCCTAGTCGTAGAAGAGCATCGCTGACACTGCTTCACAAACCCTCGGCGGCATCCCTTGTTTGGTTACTGACTTTGAAGGGAAACTCCCTCTAGCACAAAAAGAGCAACAAGCATACAAGCCACTGGGTGTCTAGGGCTTGGTGATTCTGTCCTACGTTCTCCGCGCCTCATTCTCCTTCTTCTGAGCCATGAGGCTGTCCCTCTCGGGGATGTACCTAGATTCACATCCAAAGCGCCCGATGCCCAAAGCCAACAAATACGTTACAAATCCCCCTCAGCAAATACGCAAACAACCCATTCAAAAAACAAGACCATGCGCAACTTACAGCAGAAAATGATCTTTACTGACCGGTTTGGGTGGGTTCCGAACCCTACACCTCAGAATAAAAAAGGCACGGATGCCACGAAAGCGGATGCCAATTGCGCCATGGCACTTTTTCCCAACTGTACCCTTGAACACTTCTGACTAGGCGGCTTCTTGTCCCTTGCGGACCTGGACCTCATGAGAAATTCTGAAAAATCACCCAACACTTCTTGACTTGTTGTCCGTTGTGGGGTGGACCCTTCCCTCCTTGGACCCCATGATGAATTCTGCTGACAATTCCTACCCTCAATAACACTCAGAGCAGTCACAAGGATTGGTTCCGGGTGCCAATTTGCTCGAGCTTACGCGAAAGCTCGCGCGAGAGCCAAGGGGCAGCTTGTCACTTACGCGAAACCGAAGCTTGCGCAACACACTTCCGCGGCAGGCGCTGCAAGATGTTTCATGACCACCTTCAACCAGGACTCTTTTGCACCCGGCTCAGGGGCTGTGGGTTAGACCCTCCAAACTCCCTCTCCACAGGAAGGTGCCATCAGGTACTGAGCAAGTGGTCAGCAACCATAGTTATAGCCTACCAGTGCCATGGGTGCAGGGGCCCCGTGCAGCAGGTAGTGGTTACCTGACGTACCAACTCAATTGGTTCTGGCGGCTTTTTGGGGAATCCTGAAACCAACAGGAGAAACACTAGTTCGGGGTACCCCCAAACAATGGTGGTTTTTCCTTTTGAGTCACAATCAAAACCCGGTACACAAATGGTCGACCCAGAACCATGCAAAGAACTATAAAGGCGGCCGCACCTATTTATGGTTGGGATTGTCCACTACCCACCTTCATCTTCCCGGGTTTTGATTGTGGCTCTTTTGGTGTTCCCCTCGAAACCAACCAAAGCCCAGCCGCATGGCCCGCCTGCGCCCCTCGGAGTCGCGGTAGTGGCCCTTTTGGCTGTGCACCCCGATGCCCTCCTCCTCAGCTGCCCAGGCGAATTTTCGAACCCCAGCGAAGCTCGGAAACACAAAATAGGGAGTCCTAGGTTGCCACAGATATGGCTGCGGCTCAAAAAATAGGGTAACGGGTAACCCCAAAATGGCACCTTGGCTAGTGAAGACTAAAACCTCACTTGGTTAAAGGACCTGCAAATAAAAGGTTGACCTTTTGGGACCTCTACTAAAAATAGACCAAAAAGGGAAAACCAAAAGGTCAAAAGGTCTGAGACACCTGCGTAACCCTGGCTCCATTCTGAGCCACACCTGCGTACCCCTGCTTGAACCTATGACAAACGGGTCAAACCCCATGGGCTCCTTTTCGAGTGAGTCGGAGGTTCAAATGGCCATGGATGTCAAAATCCAAAGCGGTTAGCCCCCAGTGAACATCCGATTCAACCCAACCACTAAAATAGCTTCTAAAATGGGTGGTGCACCGAAAACCCCAAAATGGGATCCCATTGGTCTTGACCCACAGACACATGGGTGTCATCTTTTTAGGCGACACCGCCAAAATGTGGCGGTGTTCTTTTTGGTCCCTTTGAAACCACCTAAAAAGCCGGTACCCTGAAAACAAACACACCCAGATTGGTGCTTCCAAAATTTGGCTCCCAAAAATGTTGGTGCTCCTTTGATTTTGAGGATCGGTGCTTCTCCCCTTCGGCGTTGCGGCGAACGGACCACCGAAGCCATTTTCCTGCTTGGAGCGCATTCCCAAATTCAGCTGGACAGGTACAAGGCAGGGGGTTGCCTTCTAGTGGGAAGCCTTCACTTTTCTGGGTGACATCCCGGTGACCTCCTTCTTTCTTTTTCAATGGAGTGGCTCGGATAGGCTCATTTTTCTCCGGGGTCAACAGTACCCGCACGAAGACTGTTCCCCTGACTGTTTCACCAAAAGGGTTCCCACCCCTCACTTTGTGGGGGAAAGCGTACGAGGCTAACGGACTGCGGAGCACCCGGCGGCCATACGAAGCGAGCACTTTGAACATTTGCCACCGGCCAACACCCCACACCCCCAGCAGGAGGGTGACAAGGCGCCCCTTTTTGGTTGAAGTTCTGCCGCCCGCTTCGAGAAAAACAAAAGCACAGGAAGGCACGGAAGCACCCACCGGCGGACCGGCTCCGAGGCGCCCGGCCATGCTGGGCTTCGGATGAATGTGCCTCTAAGCCAAACCGCGCGGAACGAGTTCTCAACATGGGGTCGACCGAGCGACAGAAACACAAAAAGGCCCCGTGGACGACCTGAAGTCTGCCCCAAGAGCCACAAAAGCCGCGTGGCAGGGCCCGGTGTTCCAAAACAAAAAGCGCGTCCTCCGAAACATGCTCCGGTCCGAAAAAATATATAAGAAGATGGGATTCCGTCGGGTTTGGGTCCTTCCTGAATAAACCAAGCAAGTCCAAATTTGTTGGTCAGTTCTAAAGTCCAACGTCAAAATTGGGGAACTCAAGGTGGTGGGTTGACACAGGATTAATAAACCGGTCCCAGTATTAGGGGGGTGTTCCCTCCAAAAGTGATGAAACACAGACCCAGACCCCGCCCGAGAAATCGATGCGGTGCTGTCGCCCACCTCCTCCCTTCTCCTCCCAGGCGGCCCGTCTGGATGCCGATGTTTACATCCTGCGCGCGATGAACGAGGGTGTTCTTTTTGCCCCCTTTTTGGGTTGCGCCCGGCAGGCCCGGCAGGCCCGGCAGGCCCGGCACGAAAACCATTTTGGGAACCTCCCTTTTTTTGACACAGAAATGAGTGTGGTCAGCTACTAATCAGTTACTAGGTCATAGGTGGCTCAAAGCCGGTTTCCAATATGCTCAGCTGGCGCAAAAGTCGGAAGCCCTCGAAGCCTCTTTTGTGTCTCTACGTGGGCCTTGCTCAAAATTTAAGAAATTCGACGCCCCTACCAAGAAGGTCCAAAGGAGATACTTAGACCCCTTTTTGCAAATCCTCAAAAGGTTTCTTGGACTGTCTGGGCTAAAAATGGGTTCTTTCCTTTTGGTTGCGACTCACTATGGGCCACCGCATTATGCCAAGACCATGAGCCAGTCAAAGCAAAGTACACTTTCTTGCCCTGCAGCCCTATCGCCGCCCGACCAGCTTCGACCAACAGTTAGAACTTGGTCCATTGAGATGACATCCTCAAACATACCACCGCTCTTAAAGATCACTCCCGGTCACCCGCAAGCACCTCATGCAGATGGAGATAGGAGGAGCCTCGTCCCCTGTGCGACTGCATGCGAAAACAGCCGCAGAACAGCCACAGGAACCCATCAATGTCCCACGAAGCAAGCTTGAGCTGACCTTTCTTTCTGCTTGCTTCTCAGTTGTAATTAACCATGCCCTTCAAGAACCCAAGTGGGGTGGGCACAAAGCTATTCCCAGATTCTGCACTGGGAACAAGCAGGCTTCCCGTGGAGAGGTAACCCACAAGCTGCACAGGAAAAAACGTTCGCCGACCCTGACAGATTACCCTCCAACAAACCTGGAAGCAAACAGGCTCCCTTTCCAAGAGGAAGCCAGTCTTCCAAAGTCGAACTTGCAGAATCTCCTCCTTGTTGCTCTGCTGGAAGATCAGGTCTTTGTAGTTGTCCCTCACCGCGTTGGGCGGTGGAGGTGCCCTGGCAAGGGTGAGCGGAGAAGCCGAAAGCGACATGAACGGTGCAAAATTGCAAATCAAGTCGATGCTAAGGTTTGTCCATAGCAACTGAACCTTGTTCATGTTCATTGATCCCTATCTGACATGGGTATGACATGTAACATGCGCATGCGTTCATTCATGGTTTAATTTCACCAGGGACTGAATATGCATAGGAAACTGAACAAAAAGGGACCTCGTAGTGGACCTTTCATCCCGTCAATGTCTAGAGTCGTCCCTAGTGGCGCAAGTTGGCCGTAACCAAAAACATGCGGAGGTTCGAAATATCAAAGTTTCAAATTAACAAATCAAGCTTTGGCGGTTGCTAGGAAACATCCAAACACCAACCTGAAAGGAAGTCTCTCAAGCAACATGGAATGAGAGGAAGGTAAGGTCAATGAGTTGCTGAAACTGTCCTTCCTTGCTTGGAGGCGTTTGACGACGCTTTGGGGAAAGGTTGCAAAACACCCGTGTCCTGCAGAAAGGTTTGTTTGTTTCAAAAAGCAAGCAGTGGCTAAGAGCAAAGACCAGGAAGCATCCCACAGCTGGGTTTGCGTTTTTGAGGCTACGCTTTTTGAGGGTCGGTTTTCAGGGCAAACACGTTCCGTCAAAAGTACCTTCCATTCCCGGGCTTTCCCAGTCCCTCGTGGGTCTCTCTGACATTCTGGAGCTGAACACTTCCTTTACCCAGTGCTTCCACATACCAGCAACAGTAGGCAACCAGGGGATACCATTATGTAAAACTTAAAGGAGAAAAATCGCGGCTAAAGACCCATGGTGACATTGTTAAGGGCGACAACCGTCCCAGGGCCCCCTTGCAACGGCTTTGAGTCAGTATTGGCCTTTTCTCTATCTTCCAGAGAAACGCACGCAGCGTTCCTGAAAGTCGACACATGCCTGCCTTTTGATGCAGGCATGAGGCATTGGTCATATGAACGCAGGTGGAGTGTGAATTTCCGGGCGGATTATGAGGATAAAGCCACATGGCCATGGGTCAAAATCCCGTACCCGGTGGTGAACATTTCAATCCCCACTAAAATCGACTAAAATGGGTGGTGAATTCACCTACCAACCAAAATGGGATCCCATTATTTTTGACCCACCGCCACACAACTTCAGGAATACTTCCTTAACAAACGCACCTGGGCCATGGGATGCGGCCGATAATTCGCCCGACAGTTCACCATGCCGCAGCATGCCGCACGATCCGCATGCACCGAATTGCCGAATGGATCCCGGATCATGGCCAGCGCTGTGGGTCAAAAATAGGGTAACCCCAAAATGGCTTGCCCTGGTAAGAGGAGACATGGACTAAAATATGCGGTCCATATCCTGGTGGTTCAAGTTTGACCCCCAGCCACAAGGCCAGCGAAACGTCACTCAGTCGAACTTCCATCGAAGATCACGCCGCAAGTGCTGCGGCAGGTCCACGCTGCCCCCGTGCCGTTTGTTGTCGATAACATCGAGGAACCTAAGAAAACTGGGCTGCCCTCAGGTCCCCTGCCAAAAGATTAACGTTTAGTGGGTCAAATGGAAACCCCCACTAAACACTAAAAGTCTAAAAGGCTAAGGGAATGGCTGGGAGCCACCAAGAAAAGAGGAGGACAATCTTTGTCGGTGCTCCCTATTTGCATCATGCATAGCCGGATGGCAAATGACGGGCCCGGACCGAAATACTCCAACATACCATTCCAACCCCCAACCAAGCTGGGAGGCAAATCGAAGCACTCGCGTGCGACCGGGTGCCGCAGCCCTTCTGCGGATTTCTTGGCCCATGTCCGGCCATGGTTGCACAGTCTTCCCGCCAGCCAGAAGATGTGACGCCAGCCCTGAGGTGGGGTCCAGTCATGTCCCAAAAGCGGCAATCTCATAACCGTTGAAACGCCTGCAAACTGGCTTGTAATGCACAAGCCCAGGCAAAAAAGAGCAGAGACATGTTAATCTTCGATGTTTCATGCCATGTCAAGTAATGGAAACTGCGTGTTGCAAAAAAAACAACAACCTCTCCTAAACAATTAACACAAACACGAATCCAGCTGCCAAACAAAAACAATCCGACACATCAAAGCACAAAGAGCAGAGACGTAATTATGGACATATGGCCAAAGGACAAGTCGAGGCAGTTAGCCGTCGGCAATAGCGGCCAAACTCAATGCAAGCCTTTATGCCGAGAGCCCTGTTCAAGCAATACAAAAAACCCACCAAATCAACAATCTTCTTGTTGCTTCGCTTCAAACGGTACCAGGAAACTGGTGTTCCTCATCTTCTTTGCCACCATGGTGTGCTATGGACATCGCCTAGATGGTGCTTGAATGGAACCAGTTCCCAGCGATGCCTCGTCTCTAAGCCGACGATGAATTACACCATCGTGTGGTTTCCAGGCCTTGGTTGTTTTTTCATGTCCATGTTGTTTTGGCAGCCAACGTTTTTAGTTTCTCCATTTGTTTTGGCAAACGCCTTCGCATCCAGCATCGCCTCTTGCGCTTTTAGCAGCCATCCGCGATCGCGGCCGTGGGAAGCACTCGGCGCCTTGGGCTGCGCAACCAGCTGCTGCGGCTTCGCGGTGGACACCACAGTGGGGTCCCAACACGTCCAATACCTTGCGTGCCAAAACAGCGCGGGCTGGAAAAATGAACGAAATATCCACCTCCCTTCGGGTTTCCCTTTGGACGCAGACTCGACAGAAACAAAAAACACACACACACACACACAACAAACAAGAAGAAACTAACAACAGCGAAAAAAACAAACATAACAAACAGATCGATGGGATCCGTCGAGCTACCGGTCCCCATCCAAGTCCCCGTTTGCGATGGACTCCGGCAAAGCCGGGCTCTTCGCGAAGATCACCTGAAAAAATGGAAAGTCTCTGCCTCTCAGCGCGCGTCTTTCTGTTGAGAGTATTTACCCCTTTTGCAGTGGGTCCAAGGGGAAACCAAGGGAAGCCGCGGATTTATTGGGCTCCTTTTGAAACCAAGGAGTGCCGCAATCGGAGACTACCAGATTACCCTTCCTCCCACTAACAGAAGGCATCTGTGGGGCGGTACCTGGAAGATCAATTTTGTCTTTGGACCCTTTGTCAGGTGTTAGTGGAAGGAACGGTGCCCCTTTGTGCGCTTGGTCTAAAATGGGAAACCAAAGGACGCCCCGATTTGTTGGACTCCTTTTGAGTCAACTGAAGTGATATGAGTATTCTTATCCAAACTGTTGACCCCAGATTAATAAACCGGTTCTATTGATAGGGGGCGTTCCCCTCCAAAAGTGATGAACCCCCGCCAAAACGGATACTCCCTATGAAACCGTTCATCAATCAGGGGGTTTGTTAATCTGGGTGGGGTTCCTCGCACCCTCCCAGAAACACATAAATAAAACAACAACCACCCTCCCGCCCGAAATTCCCATTACATCCCCCCTTCTCCCCCAGAAAAAAAAAAAAAAAAGAGGAAAGACCACACAACAACCCCCCCGGAATTATCACTTTTGGAGGGGAACACCCCCCTAAGAATAAACAGGGGTTGATTCATATGGGGTCAACATTACATTCTTTTCTTTCTCCTGCCTCCCCGAAGGGCCTGCTGGTCAGGTGCTCCCAATCCCTCGCGCTCATCGCGCGCGGCTTGGTCCGCAGCACCGGCAAAATCCGGCCGTCGCAGGGGCGCCAGCAAGGAGAGCGGACCACGAAGACGTCGGTGACGTGCTGGTAGAGTCCTCGGAAATGCGCACCCTCAGCGGTGTTCCATCCCCCAACCGGTTTGGACATCAATGCGCGTGTCTTGCTTTAGGGTCCCCCCAAAATGGCCGGTTGGCGTCCTTTTCATTTGCCTTTAAAACTGAACAAAGCAAAACTCGAAACTGAGTCCTACCCTAGTTCCAGCTGGTCAGTAGGCTTCCCCCCCCCGCCAAAACAAATGTTGGTTTTCAAAGGGTAATTTGTTTGGTTAACTTCAGGGAAGACCTATGGACCTTTGGTTCTACTAGCTGGTTCTACTAGCTCGTTCTACTAGCTGGTTCTACTAACACGGTTATAAAAGGTTGAAAAGGCGTTTCAATAAACCCAATTCAGCTAGAACCGCCTGCTGAAATGGCCACTCTGCATGGGGCCAGTACCATAGAACCACAGACCCACAAGGGGTTCCTACAAGACCAAGTTGTCCCTCTAACTACATCTTTAAGGCAACTGTGCGGGGTCTCGATGATTGTTTTAGGTGGGCGACCTTTTCTGTGATGCTAAAGCAGGCCATTCTGACGCAGGTCTACGGTGAATTCCCCCCTTTCAACCATTATCCTCTTCAAACCCAGCTGTGTGCCCCAAGTTTCACTGGGTTGTTGGTTGTTGTCTGAGCAGAAGGAACCCTGGAACGAATGCGGCAGTTGCCACTAGAACAGTTCCCTGGCCACACAAAATCTTGCTTGTAAAGACCCCCCAACCCCATCTTGATTTAAGTCCCCATACTTATGAGGGACAAATAGTTCTGGTTGTAAGAACCCTTCGTTGCAGAAAATGGCTGAATACCGCAGCAATCTGAGAGGTTCTCAAATTGCTGGCTTCCGCTTTGATGTTTCTTTCAGAAACTGCGGCTGCCCAAAACAAGACATTCACAAGCCACCACATTCATCAACACAAATTGTTGGTTTCCTCGTCAGTGAGTGACCAGTTTTTTTTTGCAAAGGGTGGATTCCCGTTGTCCGTGGTCATGCCGCCATTGTTACTTGGCCCATATCTGGGATAAACAGAACATAGTATCTGAGTATGTTTCAAACAATTGCCTACCCAGCTCAAATTGACATCCTCACCAACAAACCCTCAAAAAAGAGCTTGGGGGCACGAACCTTTTGGATGCGTTGGGAGCGCGGTGCAATGCTGAAACTGCCTCATGGATGGTCCCCTTGCTGATGGGTGAAAAGAATGGAGGAACCAGAACGACTCAACCCTCATCTATTAGCCCACATCTGCGGGACACGGAAAAAGAACCATCTGATTCTGTTCATACTCGGGCTATATTCGCTAATGTACGTAAATAGCTTTGCAGGAGAGGCTCAGGTTATAAAAAGTTGGCGGGGGGGGGGCGGTTAAAATCAGGTACCAAGTCAAGGTCCTTTGGAAAGGCCAAGGGGCCTTTGATTGTTGTGTTTGATTTCGCTTCCACTCGGCATATTGATACGACTGGGTGTTCAAAGCTGTGGAAGCTGCATTACATCCCAATTTCCAATTTTTGAGTCCTAGCTTCGCGGCCAACTCGTTGACCGTCCAGTTTTGTTCAATGATCTCACTTCTTGAGTGGATTGCCCACAAGTCCGAACCTTTTTGTTTGCCACTCAAATGGTCCAAACCCAAAAAGTTTAAAGTCCACGAAGAAAGGAAGTGAGCGACAGGAAAATATCCAACGCATTGAGTCGCGGTCCGGTGCAATTTGTAGATTGTAGAACTATCTAAGAGGGTCCCTTGATCCTCCCGAAAATGGCTCTTGGTGAGCAAGAAGCCAAAATAAAATATCTGAACATGGGGGATCCGCGGCAAGAATGGGACAAAGCGGAAGTACAGCTGAACATTTCGCCCATGCCACATGCTGCCCACAGGTCAGGTCATTCTATATAATACTCCAGCAGTGATTCAGAGCCATCAGAATCCCTTAATGGTCCTAAACGGCCCCTAGCCTTACAGTTGTAACCGGCTGCCATGCCTGCCCTTGCTACAAGCGGAGTCACATGTCAGGCCAAGGGCCCCCGCCTGGTAAGAAGATGTGGCCAGCAGGTATGGCGCCGCTGGGATCCGCCACGCCCACCATCCAGGCCTCCGGCCGCTGCTTCTGCTTCTTGTAACCTCGCTGCGAAAAGGACAACCGAAGGACACCGAGAGGGCAACAAGGGCGGCTTTTGCTCTGGTGGCTAAAGAGCAAAAGGGAAAAACACAAAAAACTGTTTTTTTGTTTAACAAATAAAAATAAAAGGGAAAACAAAGAAAAAGCTAGAAGGGCATCAAAGGGGAAATGAAAGAAGCACAAAAGGTGCTGAGGGGCAAAAGGTTTATTAAGGCTGGCAACGTAGCTTGCCAGGAACTGGCTTGGCACTCCGTGGCACGAAAGCAGGAGTTCCTCAGACAATACCCTGAAGCATAGGTGTCTTTTTGGGAAAATAGACTGCCCTGGTAGATTATGAAACATCCACGTCAGCCAGGGCCAGCCATGCTCTACCCAAACAACTGAAAAGAAGACCTCATCATCTTACAGGGGTCCCTCCGAGAGGAAACTTGACCGTGTCTGCTCCAGGTGTCGTTTCACGTAGTGAGAACGACATGAAGGATGTTGCTTGTTGAGTCGAAATATTCCTAGGTAGAGGGCCTGAAATAGTGGCAGTACATTCCATTTCACTTTACTATGATTGATACTATTTTGTCCCAGTCTAGAAATTATATCCCATTCCGACCAATTTCCTCTCCACTGCGCTCCAACCCCTTTCGTCCCCTCCGTTCCATTCCCTTTCACTCCATTCCATGTTGTTTGGCTGGGTCATCCAATTCCACTTCTTGTTGTTCCACACTCCATTCAAGTCAACGTTGCTTGATTATTTGCATCCCCACCCGCTTCTTTTTGTCCAATTGGCTGTTGATTTGTCTGTGGGATTATGTGGGTCAAAAACATGCACCAAAATGGCACCTTGGTAAATGCAACCAAGGACTAAAACCAGCGTAACCCATAGTCATTGAATTTTGAGCCACGCCCATTTAGATACTGAAGTCAAGTTATTGTCGCTTCATGTCATGTCGTTTCACTTCCGTTGTGTTCAATTCATGACGCTTCAATGCGCTTCTCCTCACTGAAGGCCATTTCATCGGTTGTGGTTGGGTTGTTTGTCATTCGTCGTCAGTTCGGTTGCTTGCTTGCTTGGTTTTGGTGCCACGGGCCCGCATGGATCCTGCGACTGTGGGCAGTCTGCTTCCAGCGGGCATTTTGCTTCCCATCAGCCGTTCAGGCGCGGGGCCGGCGCTACAGAGAACAAACTCACACTGAATACGCAGTCACAAGAACCCACACAGGACAATCGTAGCGTACGTGCTACAGGTGAGCAAGGAACACGCAGTCACAAGAACCCACGCAGGACAATCGTAGCGTACGTTCTACAGGTCAAGCGCTAGCAACGAACACGCAGTCACAAGAAAGCACGCAGGACAATGGTAGCGTACGTGTTACAGGTGAAGCGCCAGCAACGAACACGCAGTCACAAGAACCCACGCAGGACAATCGTAGCGTACGTGTTACAGGTGAAGCGCTAGCAAGGGACGCGCAGTCACAAGCACCCACGCAGGACAATCGTAGAATACGTGTTACAGGTGAAGCGCTAGCAAGGAACACGCAGTCACAAGAACCCACGCAGGACAATCGCAGCGAGCGTGTTACAGGTGAAGTGCTAGCAAGGAACACGCAGGCACGCAGGACAATCGTAGCGTACGTTCTACAGGTCAAGCGTTAGCAACAAACACAAGGGACGCGCAGTCACAAGCACCCACGCAGGACAATCGTAGCGAACGTGTTACAGGTGAAGCGCTAGCAAGGAACACGCAGTCACAAGAACCCACACAGGACAATCGTAGCGTACGTTCTACAGGTGAAGTGCTAGCAAGGGACGCGCAGTCACAAGCACCCACGCAGGACAATCGTAGCGAGCGTGTTACAGGTGAAGCGCTAGCGAGGAACACGCAGTCACAAGCACCCACGCAGGACAATCGTAGCGTACGTTCTACAGGTGAAGCGCTAGCAAGGGACGCGCAGTCACAAGCACCCACGCAGCACAATCGTAGCGAGCGTGTTACAGGTGAAGCGCTAGCAAGGAACACGCAGTCACAAGAACCCACGCAGGACAATCGTAGCGTACGTTCTACAGGTGAAGCGCCAGCAACGAACACGCAGTCACAAGAACCCACACAGGACAATCTTAGCGTACGTGCTACAGGTGAAGTGCTAGCAAGGGGCGCGCAGTCACAAGCACCCACGCAGGACAATCGTAGCGTACGTGTTACAGGTGTAGCGCTAGCAAGAAACACGCAGTCACAAGCACCCATGCAGGACAATCGAAGCGTACGTGTTACAGGTGAAGCGCTATCAAGGAACACGCAGTCACGAGCACCCACGCTCACATACAGACAAATGCACTCTGGGCCTATAAAGGCACCAGCGGCAGATTTGCTTGCTTGGGCGTGCTCGTGGGCTGCCACTTTCGAGGGCGAATCGTGCTAAAATTTAAATACACGAGCCTCCAGAGGTCGTGCAACCTTGCTTTTGCTTGCTTGCTTGCTTGCTTGCTTGCTTGCTTGCTTGCTTGCCTGTCTGTTTGGCCGCTTGACTCATTGTCTGTTCGTCCAATAAATGTGCAAACAAACAATCCAGCACGCCATTTCCAGGCACCGCCAGCTGAACCAACCATCTAAGGAACATGGTATGTCTGATACCCCCTACGGGGGGGGGGGGTAGTTGGCTAGGGGGTAGTTAGACATACCATGAAAGGAACAAAGTCAGGCACAACTCAAAACCTGCATGCCAGGCATCCAGCATGTCACTCACATCCTTGGGCTGCCACAGGCTGGGCCGGCCCCCGAACGCCGTTTGGTTCGGCAGCTTCTTCGCCAGATTGCCGGGGAAGGTATCCATTACCGTAATGCACGCCCAGTCGTCGTGGCCTTGGTCTGGCAGGGTCCTTAAGCATCCACCAACCAAAACCAACCGAAAGGGAGACATGGTGGACACTGTTGCCAAAAAAAAACGCAAGCCAACGCAATGAACTACAGCAGCCATCATGCGATCTTTGAATCAACCAGAAAGGAAACTATAGGAAAGTAGCATTCATTTTCCACAAGAAGGTTTGTATGACCGAAGAGCCGAAGGGACATGAACGGATTGCCTATTGTTTTTCAGACACCCAAATGAAACAAGCCCTACAAAAGTCACACGCGCCTACCTCCTGACACGACAAGCGCAAAGGCGCACAGCACCAAAATGGTGGAACCACAAAAGCAACACGCGTGCCACAGATGGTTGAACCCCGCGAGAAGGGACAGTAATCACAACAAAAAGTTGAACTCGCTACCAGTTGCCACGATTGAAAACTGGCGGTACCCACGATAAACATCTGGAACATGGATTTTGAAAAAGGGAAGACTACAGGCCATCCTGTCTGGAACCCTGCGCAACGAAAGCAAACGTGGCGAACAGAGTTTAAGTCACTAGAACATGGAAAGGGTTGGGCGCTCATGTTTTGTGTCCTCCCCATTCTGACAATAGATCACCAATGGGGACAAACCCCTGAACCCCTGTTTGTTCGAGCCCCAAGCTGCTTGGTGGGTCCACAAACCAAAACGGCAAAATTGAGGATGGGGTCCCGCCCCACCAGTTTGGGGGTTGTCAAACTTTCAGGGGCCTATGATTCTGGTAGTCCAAGATCAAATTTATGTCTAAACAGGTTGGGGGATGGAACAAATTTAACTGGGCTGTCCTCAGATCCCCTGCCGGAAAGTGACTAACCCCAAGCTTTAGTGGGTGAAATGGGGAGGCCCGAACCCAAAATCCGAAATATGCCCAAAAAACACCGAACATTTGGGCTCCCGGCATCCACCGCCTCCGCCTGGCAAAAAAAGGCGAGAACTGCCGTCGAGCGGCAGGTCTTGGAAGGCGGCACCTTCCGCATGGACGGGGGCACCTGGATGACATCGATGCCCGGCTTCCAGGTTAGAAGTCCTGTGGACAACATCCACCGTTCAGAAGCCCTGTCTGATGATTCAGCTGTAAATAAAAACCGACCATGGTTTCAACCATGGTTTCAAAGTGGTGTCCATCCACAGTATGCCGGCAAACGACTTGCCTGAATCCGGGGAGGAAACCCGAAAACCAAAAGGGCCAAATAGGTGTGTCCATGTGTGTCCTCTTTTTTTTGGGGGGCCCAAAAGGGTGGCTTTCCTTTTGGTGTCCTTTTAAAGAAAAGGGTGAAAAGGGTATCCTCAAAACAACTCAAGTCCAAGGTGGCTTTCCTTTTGGCGCCCTTTCAATCCAGGGCTACTCTCAACATAAAACTGTTCTGATGGTTGGATACCAAAGATAAATAGACCAAGCTTCTACCACTCAATATTTCATCCTGGTGTGAACCTGATGCTACATCATTTCATCACAGAAACAATTGGCAACGAGGATTCTCCAAGGACCTTCATCATGGGTAAGCTGTTTTTTTTCTTTCTCTTTTGGGGGGTTCGCTACAAATTGCCCAATGACCTCCCGCCTCGGTTGCCGCCCAGGCGCTGAGAACTGCTTTTATCATCGTTTAAGAGCCCGGAGCAACCCGGTCCTTTGATCACGCCCAGCTGTGGGCCAACCACGCGCACCTGCAAGGAAGGGCACTGCAATGTCAGGAACATGTTGGAACCGTTAAGAGGAGCGGCAAATGCCAGGAATCCACATCAAAAATGGGAGGGGGTCTATCGTGTTTTTCTTCTTCTTTTTCTGGAGACAAAGCCCTGTTTCTATGAAAATTATTATAGTTCGCAAATTGGCAACAAGGAATCTCCCAGTAAGGACCTTCATCATGGGTAAGCTCGTCTTTTCCCGTTTTGGGGGCGCGGCGCTACCATTTGCCCAGACCAGTGACCTGCCGCCTCGGTTGCCCCCCCAGGCGCTGAGAACTTGCAGGCCTCCGCGGTACCATGAGTCATAATCAATACACGGTGTTTCTACCTGGGTCGGCCAGACAAGTCGAACAACTCGTCTTCCAGTTGGTTAAGACCCCTGAAAAACAATATGTCCAGTAGTGACCAATTCTTTTCAAAACCAACAAGGGAAAATAGAAAACATATGCTTAAGCAAATAGAAAGTAGTCGTGTCCCCCGGTCTCAACCGAAAAAATCCACCTCGGGAGGGTGACCCCCCCCCCTGGGCACCCCTTGGAGTCTGTTCGAACCCCGGGCCTGCACGCTGGTCACGGAGACGCCAGCGGCTTTGCCCACCAAGTCCCGCAGCAGATGCAGCGAGATGAAGCCACAGCCGCCAGACCTCGTTTGGGAAGTCCCAAAATGGGCAAATGGACCACCCCAAAATGGGCGTAAATGGGTGGTTTCCTTGGCGTCCATTTAAAACCAGGCCGGACACCTTAGACAAAAGACACACCCACCAGGCAATAAGGGCCTATTTAGGCAACTCAAGTTGTGCTCATAGTGATGTGTAATTCTTTCAGCGCCTGATATGACTGGAAAGGTCTAACTCAAACAACGAGACTGGAACATAGATGGATCAGTTCAACCAAAGGCCAGATCCTAAGTGAGGGGGGACATGAAAAGGACGCGCCTGTCTCTCATACTTATGACTTAGTTTGGTTTTAAAGCGCCCTTACGGCCCAATTCGAGTTTTTTGGCCCTTAGTGCTCTTGGGAAGCGCCAAAAAACCAATGGGTCCCTTGTGAGTTTTGTGGGATTGCCCAGCTCGAGTCAGCAACCACAAATCCTCAGAGCGGACTCTGATTTCGGGGAATCCTGAGATGAATTTGTGGAGAGATGACACAAACCCCCTGTTTGATGAGCAGAGCGAATGACAGCATCCCCCTGAACCAGCAAGCTGTGTCATCTATTTACCCCATGCATTGAATCGCCCGTGGTGACTTCCTCACTCAGGCAGCCACTTACTTTTGTGGGGCAATGGGTCACAAGGAAGAGGAAGGGGGTCGTCAAACAAATTCGCGGGTGGGCTCTTCCCAGTTCAAAGCAAAATTATGTCTTCTACCCCAAAAATCAATGAGACCTGGGTGGCCAACCGGCCAACCGGAGCCCTGGTAAGTCTGTCGACTGAGCACTGGGCGCAGCCGAATCCACAGGCTCAGTAATCCACTCGAAGATGTCTGCCCTCCTGGGTTCTGGCTGCAAAAGCCTGGACTCAACCCCCTTCTCCTAATCCCCCTCCGCCTTCCCACGAGTTTCCTCCATGGCTGTGGGTCAAAACCCTGCACCTCTGGTGAACCTCAAAGTAGGTGGCAAATGGATGTTCATCCACCCCAAAATGGGATCGCCATAGGTTCTGCCCCATGGCCACATCCTAAAGATACATGCGACACGGGAAACGGGGGGGGGGGGCAGGGAAGGGTCAGAGTGCTCAACGGCCAGCACCCCGTTGCCACCCAGCCTAGTGTCGGACCTAAAGAGGCTGAACAAGAAAAAATGTTCTCCCTGGCTCTACCCCCGGGCCAACCCAGCGCTTCCCATTGCATCAACAACTGGTGCTTCCCCTTCTAAGAGGTAGGTCCAGTTGATTCCAAAACTTGACATAATAAATTCAATCCACTTCCGAGTAAGCACAGCACGCATAAATGTGTGCAATGTTACTTTTGAGTTGGGGGTAAGCGCTCACTATCAAATAGACAGACCACGCTGTGCAACCATCCACTTGTTTAAGCGAACATGTTCAAATCACTTCTGTGTTCACTGTGCCAACTGGTCCGGTCATTCTTGCGGGGACATAACAATTTGTGCGATATCAAAGTGGCAAATCCCTGTGGCTACGTTGTCACTGTCAAGGGGAGTCCCTGATCACAGAAAGTGGCCACATGCTGTGGTTGTTTCAATCATTTGGGGGCACCCAACGTAAATGATGTTGTTCTTTCTGGCTTCCCCAATGCGAAAAGGGTGCCTTCAACAAAAGAAACGCACCCAACACAACACAACAAGCAATGACATGCTCTCAACAAGCTCTGCTATGGTTCCCCTTTGCAGACGTGCTGGGGCATGGTTGTTTGACCCAAACCCCTAGTGGCCATGGGAAAGAAGGGCACTCTTTTTGCTGGCAGTTGATCTTAAAGGGAAATCCCCTCCAAACAAAAAGAACAAGGGCACCACTTAGTGTCTGGGTTCAACACATCTGCAATTATTCTATACAACAATTGCCGCCAACAATCTGAAACAAGATGCCACTCTTTAAACAATTCTGAGAAAGCAACTTGAACCAATTCAACCAATTCTGAAAAAAACAATCTACAAAAACAGCTCTGAAAACACGCATGCAACAATTCTGAAACTCAAAACAAAAGCACACCTGAACAGACTTTGCCGCCGCGCTCCTCCAGCAGACCTTCCCGCGGCTCTGCAGGAGCTCCAGCCGTGCCGCGCACTTCTCCGCCACCGAAAGCGACGCAAAGTCCGCGAGTCTCTCGAGCCGCAACTGGGCGCACTGGAAGGAATCAGCTGCCAAGTACCTGGCGAAACGGAGGTTTGAAACCTCCCCGGAGGCGGGTGCCTCGTCATTGATACCCGTCTGTTCGTGGGTTTTTTGAAGGGAAACCACAAGGAGAACCACCATTTTGGTGGTGGTCCACTAAAAAATGGCACACCCATGTTGCTTGGGTGCCCTTCTGATGCTAGCAACCTTGCTTCTGTTGCTCTGCAATTAATCAAGTACTTGAGTCGTGATGAACACCAATTGTACGTCTACCTGGGGATCTCTATAACTTTGGAAGGAGGGGAATGGATCACGTGAAATGAACAGTGTATCAAAACCTGGTATTAAAGTGGTATACCAAAAACCAAATAAAGGGTCAAAAAGGCGGATATCCGAATGGGGATATGAATTGCTGTCTAGCCTTCATCTATCGCGGTTTGTGTTGTGGCTCACTCGGGATCGTGCCTCCAATGGGCTATGGGGGGGGGGGGGGGGGGGGGGCATCTTGGATAAGCCTAGGATGAGCCAAGGATAAACTCTTAATAGAACTTTGCTTTCAATGTGCAAAGCTTCAAAGCCTTGATATTGCAAGGGGCTGAATAACTACACGGTTGCCCTATGATCTGAGATGCAATCCAACCCGGTATCAAACAGATCCACTCTGTTCCCCAAACCAGGCATTCACTTTTTCGCAGCTGTGTTCCACCACTCCCTCACCTAAGAGTGCATGTGTTCCAAAGGAACCCCCCTGGACCCCGCTCAAGTCTGGAGGATCAGCCCCAAAGGTCTCATTTGGCCTGAGGCCTGAGCCCCACATTGGGGTCTGGGGTGTCCTTCTGGCAAAAGCGCCATGCACTGAGTCCCTTCCAAGGAACATGTGTGCGGAAAACCCCTTGATTGGAGTACACCCCAATCAGAATTCGGTGGCCGGGCTGATCCCAGCCACACAAAGGCCCAAATGCCCTTGGATGGTGCTAGATTTTGTGGCAAAGTACCTCCTCCGGGAAAGTTGGCGGTTCCTTGAATTCCGGACCCCCTTTTGGATGTCTGGGCAACTGAAGCAAGCGCAGATTTTTGAGCAAATCAAGTCAAGCGTACCTGGGCAGAACAAATGGATCGTCCCATTGGGGGGCTCAAGGAAACAAAAAAAACACCAAGCCGTTACGTGAACAAAGAAACACCAGGAGCACACCAAGCACCAAGGTGCAAGAAGTGAATCCTATTCTTCTTGTAGCCCTGCTGGCCAGGCTTGTTATTGCTTGGATCCTTCGCCGAGACCAGCTCAAAGCGCTTGCCTGGGGAGTCAAACATGGCTACCACCAAACTCTTCAAGTGAACCAGGCCCGGATTACCTTGTTAAAATGGGGGGGGGTGATCAATATTCCTGGCCTTCAAACGACAATGGCGTATCTTTGTCCCATGTCGTGGGAAAGATCCTTGTAATTAGTGGTTTCCCCAATGGTCATCCCATGTAAATCAACCCCAGAAAAAAAAGCAAGAAAAAACACTGCTTGGTCATCCCACGTAAATCAACCCCAGTTGAAACAAACCCCTGCTGTTTCAACAACCTCCAGGCTCTCCACATTCCAAGTAGCAACCCCAAAAGTCGAACCCGAGGGAACCGAATTCCTTTGACAGCCGGGGTCCACATGGATCCTGGTTGCTTGCACCAATTTGGGCCATTTACCTCACCATCTTCCATTTGCAGGTCGGTTGAAAGGGAAGCTGAAAGGAAAACCGCCAGTTCGATGCCATTATACACACAATACATTTGACACACCGGCACGCATACCCATTTTGCAACCACCTTCCTCCTTGCTTGATGTGTTGGCCCGGGCTCTGCCAGTTTCCACTGAACTCCGACGTCCTGCTCTGTAAATCCTCCTTGAAGAACTCCTGCGGGTGTCATAGCGGTGACCGTTGAGTGGGTTTGCACATGGTGGGGAATGACATCTGTGGAAGATGCTTTGCCACCAATCCCCCCAAAAAGGGGCCTGATTTCTTCTTTGTTTTGGGTGACCCGCAAAATTGGATAGAAGACACCAATAGGTTCTTTTCGGATGCACACATGAATCTCCTGTGCGAGCGATCGGAACCCGTGAATCTGAGGGGACCGCTTTGGCTCACCTTTATGAGGTCTCTCAAACGGGTTCTTCACTCAGGCACGGCAAGTACTTTCTGAAGACTCAACAAACAACTGATGCAGCTTGAAATCTGGAGCAGAGCAATGATGCCAAACCCCAAAAAGGCAAAGTTGGTGACCCCAAGACTCGGCGACCTCCATAGGAAAAGTCTAGCCGTTTGACCTATTGCAAGAAACTCATCTGAACTTGGCCCTCTGAATTCCAAAAATACGTTCCGATTCTGTCTCTTACAGCGTCTACATGCGTCTACCCCACGATATAGCATAACTTTGGAGGAGGCCCACTGTTGGTTTCGCACGGACTCCTCGAGGAAGGTCGACTTCATGACATCCTGGCCATCTCTGTCAGCCTCCCAGTCACTTCGGCGACTGCACTCGTCGCTTCGGGGGGTGAGGTCGGACACATCGCTCTGGGTGTCGCCTTACTTGCAGCAAAGGACCGCCGTTTTGGGGCTCAAGAAAACCAGCAAAACTTTGTCGGAAGGGCTTCTCAAAACGGTGAAACCCAAAAGTATGCTTTCCCCTTGAGGGAATCAAATTTGGCCACCAACCTGGTGCGGGGGGGGGGGGGGGGCAAAATTTGAGAATCCCCCCTCCCCTCCCCGAAACTCCGGAAACTCACGTAGAACCCCAAAGGGTCGCTTTGCTTAACGAAGTCACACTCAGAGTAGCTCTCCTGCACGCGAGACAGATCGAAGTTCACGACCTTCTGCTCGAACTTCACCCAAACGCTGCCGTGCTTGACAGCCGTTACGACACCTGACTGGCTGGGTATCAAAGCCGCGCGGGAACGGACCCAGTAAAGGATTTGCGCATGCTCCTTAAACCCTGAGCTCCGGAGAAAAACATGGCATGAACTAGGGGATCCAGAAACAAGAGGAAAAAACAACAAACTCACAAACCTTTGTGGGATCTGTTGGGGCAAAGTGGAGATATTACGTTATTTAGTTCATCACGATGAAGCCATCAGGTCATCCCTGACAGCCACAGGTCCTTACATTTCAATTAAGGATACTGTGCTAGGTTGTTTGAATTGGAATCGTTACTCCTGATCCGCAATCCACAAAGGAACACCACACGAAGGGAAACTGCCATCTGGCACAAAGGATTGAGGGTCCTGCTTCTGCATCCAATGCTGGAATCCAATGCTTTCAAGACACCGACGCAGGATCTGTATTTGCCTTCCGCCACTCGCACAGTTGCTCCCACCTCCACCGTGTGCTGAGCCGTCACTCCTGAGAAGGAGAAGTTGCAGGGCACGGGTGCAGCAACTAATGATAGGGCTGTGGGTCAAAACCCTGTCAAAATGAAGCCAGAGGTTATGCCCCATGGCCATAGATCAAGGGAAGGGTGAACACGGGTGACATGTGAGCCGCAAACGCCCTGGAAAGTAGATGCTGATCCCCTTCTTGACCCTCTCTTTCTCAGATGCTTTCTGCTCCCCTGCTAAAAGTTTAACTTTTGGTGGGTTAAATGGAACCTACCACTAAACACTAAAAGACTAAAAAGCTAAGGGGATGGCTGGGAGCCACTAAGCTCAGCACCCCCTGCAGAGCGTCCAGCTGCTCTTTTGGCTTCTTGTCGCGCTGGCCGCCGCTGGCAATTCCCCATTCGAACGGAATTCAAGCGTGATCAGCTCTGGGCAGAACCGCTCAGGCCAAGGGCTGAATGCAATCTGTGGATCTCGCTTGGGCATGCATATCTATGACTTTTGCATGACATGCCGTCATTCTTGCGATCATATCGGGATCCATAAGCCTATAGCAGCGGTTGCGCCGAGCTCCATCGTGTGTTCGGCCCTCACTTGCCAAGCCTGACCTGCCAAGCCTGCTGCGTGCTAGCAACGACCCTGGCATTGATTGGTTTTGAAGAGCACCCGCAGCCATAGGATCCAAAGCCACCTTTACAACCCGTTGACAACCCCCACAAACCTGTTTCCTCAAAAGGCAACTAAGGCCCTGTCAAGGGCGGGTTTATACAAAGGAAAGTGGACTGAGCTGTCCTCAGATCTCCTGCTATAGTTTAACTTTTAGTGGGTTAAGTGGGGGAAACCCCACCACTAAACCAACTAAAAGACTAAAGAACCGCATGGCTGGGAGCCAGCAAGTTGAAAGGGAGATGACTCCTGGACAACTCCCCGCCGTCGCTGTCGCACTGTGCCTGATACTTGGAGGAAGAGGCTCTGAGGGCAATGCGCGCAGTCGTTCGATCTCCTGGCGTTTCTGGAGAGAAACGGGTCTCAGGAAAATGATCCAAACATATCCCCCTCCCCCAAGTCATAATTGCGCCATGGCAATGATGGGAGGACTGGTCACAGAGTTGATTCAATCCTGCAAAAGACAGGACGGCACTTGTTTCAACCCTGCGACCCTTTTTTTAACCCCACCATTTTTAAAACCCTACCACCTTTTTCCCCAACCCTACCATTTTTCCAAAAGGGCCCCAAAAGAAAAAGCAATACCCCATGTCTAGCCTTCTGGTTTGGATCGTTGGCTCGGGTTCCCACCCGAGCAAGCGCTTGGAGAAGTCCGGAAAGTGGAACTTCTCCGTACGAGTCAAGCAGAGAAACACCCGGGCTGGTGAGGGTCATCTGCTCAACAAACAAGATACCGAAGACGTGCTTAGATGGGTCACTCCCACGACTGCTTTATCACTTGGATTGGATTGCGTTGGTATCACATAGGGGTTGATCAATATTCCCTTCAGCCCCCACATGACCATCAGTAACTCTCCCCATTTAGTGGGAAGTATCATCTTTTGAGTGGTTTCCCCCAATGGTCATCCCATATACAGGACCCTTCATGGATGCTGACAGTCCTTCGTCTCTTGCACGAAGGACTTCGGCACGAAGTGTCCAGTGCCGTAGCCTGCACCCCGGCAGTGTCGTTCCATGTGTGGTGACAAGGGAACCCTGTTCGGGGTTGGGTTTTGAGTGAAACCAACCGGAAAGCTCCCACTTTTGAGGGGGCGGGCACCTCATCTATTTGCGTAAATGGTCATAGTTTACCAACCTGAAATCAACGGCCCAAAGAAGAATCTTCACAGCTCGGTGAATCTATGCTGGCGCAAGCAACCCTTGGCAAGGAACATATGTACACAGTCTCCTACAGAAGGAAGGCTTGTGCCGGCTTGCAAATGACATGTTGATGTTGACTCCGTCGAATACCAAACCTCACACATCGCTCAATGTCACAAGTTTCGAAGCGAAACAGCCAAGGCCGCTTGTGCACTTGGCTTCGGATGTGAAGACACTTGGTATATGTCGACACCTCACCAACGACACACTCGCGGATCAAAGCGTTGCAAATGAATTCGACGCCCCGCTGGAAGCTGCTGCCAATGCTACTGCCAGAGCTAGCACTTCCCATGACAAACCCCCCCACGCACCTTCAAAAACGCAACTCAAAGAGGCTAGGCCCACAAAAACAACTAGGTCCTCCAGTAGAGAGGTTAGAATAAGGGTACCCTTTTTTCTGTATAGTCTATTTTAGTAGGGGAACCCTCCCCCAAAAAAGGGTAAACCGCAACTGGACTCCTGTTCTTTTTTGTGCCCTTGACCCACCAGGACAGTTCCGAGGCGGAGGCGGTCCAGGAGTCCAGTTGAATGTATCCACAAAATGGGCGGCTTGCATTTTCAGCCGATCCAAAGGTGTTCCTTTTGGTTTTCCTTAACCACCCTTTTGGGGTGTCTTTTTCAGGGGATCCTCATTCACCACCCAAACAAGGGTAGCCTCAAAAGACGAGCCACCCATGTGGGCTTTCTCCAGATCGACGTGCCTCCGGAGCGACCCATGCCGCTGCTCTGGTTGGTAATCTGCTCCTCTCGCTTGGTCAAAATTGAGTCCCTTTCGTGCCTAAGGACATGGGATATCTACTGTGGATGGACAAAATCCATTCGCAACACCCAAAACACACTGGAAGGAATTGATTCCCCTGTAAATTCCAACAACTCATAATTTCCCATGGTTTCAAAGTGGTGCAGGATTTGGTCCATCCACAGTACGGATCGTCCGATGCTCCCAAAAGACCATGGCCTATTGGACGTATCCTTTTGGAAGCCCTGTTTGGTTGTTTTTGAAGGGAAGCCCGAAGGAAAACCCAGCGTTTTGGGATATGTTTGGGGTGGTTTTTTAAAGAAAGACACACCCGTTTGGATGTGGCTTTGAATCGCTTGGGCTTAGTTGCTTGAATAGACAAACTCCCAAACTCCAAAGAACGCGGCTGGGAACCACCAAGGGCTTAACAAGGGCAAGGGCTTAACAAGGGCAAGCATACTCTACTTGGCAACTTGGAGACGGGGGTCGTCCAGTGTGCTGTAACATGGGTCATAAATGTAGTTACCAGCCACTCACTAAGTAAGTACCCGGCCCCTTTTAAGTAGGCCATGCAACTACATTCTTTGAGCCGCCCTAGAACTCAGGTTGTCCTTCAAGACTTCCTCAGGCTGAACAGACCATGTCTGGTTCTGCTGCTTACATCTGAACTGCCGCAAACCGCTGGCGGTGACCTCAAGCACCGGTTCAAGTCCCTTCCACTCCCCAAAGCCCTCCACGGAAGACCCGCAGTTGACACCCGGCAACAAGTCCTTCCAATCAGAGGTCTACCTGCCCTTGTTTTGCTCACCGGCTGAGTGGATGGCCCCAAAAAAGTCCAAACTTTTTGTTGACCACCCCAAAAAGTTTAAAGTTCATGAACTCAGGAAGTGAGTTTGCGTACTACAGCTGTTTCTGCCATCAGGATGTTGCGCTACCACACTCCATGCAGCATTCCAGTGTGCGTCTGTTTGGCTCAAATTGAGGCTTGCAACACCATATTTGTGTCTCATGGAGTCTTACACCACCACATCACACCTTGTGAAGGAAATTCCAGGCGCGTCTCACAGTCAACTCCAAAAAACAAACGCGCCAAACCACCATGGAAATTAGAAGGACACGCGTAAAACGGGCAAAACTGCAGCTCCCCACAGGACGGCTTGGTGGCTCGAAATGCAAATTCCTTCGCTCCCGGATCCCAGGCAAGCTGCAATAGTTGGAAGCCGGCCATGCCTCCGTTTTCAAGGGCCTCCCCTGTGCAAATGGGGCGTCAAAGTACTGGGGACAACAAGAATGGGTGGCTTCCAACTTGTGCCTTCCAACTTGTGCCAAAAGTTGAAAAGATGCGAAAAGGGTAGTGTAGGGGGCGACCTACTTCCACAGAGTACTCCCCCATGACAAAACTTGGTCTAGCCCTACACCCGGCTTCCCGTTTCTCGGTGCCAGCGCCTGCATCTTCATGATCCATCGCACCAGGTCGTGGCAGCGCACCGAAGGCAGCGGGGGGCAATGGTCCTAACATGGCTGTGGCTAAAAAAATGCGTACCCAAAATGGCACCTTGGTAAATGGAACCAAAGACTAAAACACGCGTAACCCCAGCTCTTTAATTTTGAGCCACACCCACATGGGTATGGGTCAAAATCAACCCACCAGGATATGGACCGCATGTTTTAGTCTTTGGTTCCATTTATCAAGGCAAGCCATTTTGGGTTCGCCAACATGTCCTAACCAAATCCACTGCCGTGAATGGGAATTTGGCAAATCGGGGGGAAGGGTGGTTTAGGTGGAACGTTGACCAGGTGTAGACTGCGGGGGGTTGTCAGAAAAGTTGCCCTTTTCGGACCCTGGTGCCATTCAGGTACGAGCTAAGACAACAACAACCGGAAGTCAAACGTGATGCGGTCATAATTTAACTGTGGCAGTGCGCACACACCAACCAAACGAAACTGCACGCCTTTGCAATGGACTTTGCAGATTGTCGGAACTCTCCAGACACCAAACTGCAGAGTAGGCCTTGCACGAACCTTCTGAATCATTCTCCCAAACACTCCAAGGTTAAAGTAGTCAACAGTTGGGAGTCATCATGCCTGACATGGTGTATGCCGGAGTGCGCAACTACTGTAGTTTGCACTACTGTTTTGTTCCAGAGGGAAACACGCGCATGGCTCGTTGGCTGTTGTAGCCTGCAATGTTTGCTTGGATGATAATGTAAAGTGGACACAGGCGCGAGCCGAACTCACCGGCGCATGAAGCCAAATTCGGGAGTCGCCGCTTCGGCAATCACTGAGAATCACACAGAACAACAACACTAGGTCCTCCAGTACAGAGGTTAGAATAAAGGTACCCTTGTTCTGCGTCTATTTTAGTAGGGGACCCTCCCGCACTACTGGATGACCTAGAACAGGAAGCGCCCAAAACCCAACCAAAAGAACAAGCAAGCAAGCAAGCAAGCAAGCAAGCAACCCAACAAGTGAAACAAAGGCGCGGATGGCCTCCCCCAAGAAGTCGCGGATGGCCTCAGACACAGGACTGAGCTTGACATCTCCGCGGACCAATGTTGACCCCATATGGCCATGGGTCAAAATCCAATTCGGACCCCCAGTGAACATCCCAATCCCAACTAAAATAGGTTCCAAACTGGGTGGTGCAGCGAAAACCCCAAAATGGGATCCCATTGGTTTTTACCCACAGCCATATTAATCAACCCCAGCTTGTTCATAGGGGGTGTCCCTGCGCTTGGAATCAACCCACTTCTGGAGGGGGACACCGGGACCCATGAAAAATAAACTGGGGTTGATTTCTTTGGGGTCAACATCAATGGACTCTCTTGCTCGGCCTTCTACCGTTTTCTGCTTTCTTGTTGGTTCAGGCGGGAGAAGGTCGGGGATCGTTAAATTGCCCAGGCAAACGCGTCAGCCCAAAGGAACTCCCATCAGCCATGGGCTTCGGTTTCTATCAGCCATGGCGCCGGAGAGCTGCTGGGGGCCCGCACGAGAGCGCGGGTGCGCAAAGCGTACTGGTTCAGGGTCTGGCACAAGGCTTCCCACGCCAAGTCGCTAGCTGACTGGCTGATTCATTGACCAACCAGTCGACCGACCCACCGAGCAACTCACCAAACCAACCAATGAGCCAGCCAGCCAGCCAGCCAGCCAGCCAAGTCACTAACTATAACTCATGTTTGGTCTTTTAAACATCCAACTAACAAAGTGACTAGCGAACTGACTAAATCACTACCTAGTTGTGAAGCGAATCACCAGTCTGGCATACAACTTGGAGCGCTTGGGGAGTGCCGCTTTCCGATTGACTGCCCAATGCTGTGCTCCGCAATGGCAAAATGGCATACTGAGACGTGCATCATTCAAGGCAAATCATGACTTGGGTGTGGGTCAAGACTAAACCAACAGGAGGCCACAGATTTCGGTCCATGCTTCCACTTGCCAGGGTTCCATTTTGGGTACCTATTTTTGACCCACAGCCATTTGGGTAGTTGGCCTCCAAAAGTGCGAAATTGCGGTGGTTGCAGGATAAGCTCAAAGTTTCCACCACGTACGCGGGGTTTGTTACAGGCAGTGACAATCCAAAAAACAGAGGCTTGTGTTGGGAGCAATCATATCAATCCATTGGTTTAGCATGTCTGAAGCACATATTTGAACACATCGCTCATGTCCAAAGCACCACAGAGTCAGTTCAACGAGAATCACCGCAGTGTATGGATTTTCCGAAAGCGCCCTTTTGCCCAAGACCTGCCCTAGAAACTCTGCTCCCGAGTGGGACTCCTGGTAGCCTGGTAGCCCGACCTCCACTTGGCTTTGTCGGGGTTGCTCTCCGAGAAGCTTGGCCCCGTAGATCATGAAACTCTGTCAGCGTCCCAAGGAATGTCATGTTGTCTTGAGGCCACATGAACCACCACAGGTTCCCAATCAAAAACTCATACTTGCACTTGTGTTGCTTGGGGCAGGAACCACCAAAAGTTCAAACATGTTCCAATTAAACATCATAGTCCAGTCATAGTGATCATCTTGAAAGAAGCAAGCTCCTACTAGAAACCCAACCAACAGCTCCACAGGTCGAAGCCTCCAGCTGAGAGAAGTTCCAGAGCTGCAGGACCTCAACGCTTCGGCTGCGCGCCCTTTATCACATCTGGTTCCATGGTCAGTGCTACATCGCTAGGTCCTCGAGATTTGAGAGGGTAGAATAAGTTGGTACTTGATATATATATATATATATGTTTTTGTTTTTTTGTTGTTTTTTTCCGGGCCGTCTATTTTAGTAGGGGATCCCTCCCAACCAAAAAAGGGGAGAGAAGGGCACTGGGGCACCTCGCTAGCCTTAGCTACCTGAAGGTTTCCCGGGTAGAACCACCCATCCATGGGCATACCTTCCTGAAGATGCGGGCTGCTGCCTTGCCCTAGGTTGGCCAACGATATGGCTGCTTCTTGTTTGAGGGTCCACTTTTTGAGGTTGGTTTAAAGGGAAACTAACATACAAATCACGAGTTTGGTGGGGTGCCCCTATTCTGAGACCAGCCCGTCTAAGTTAAAGCAGAGCTTAGGATCCAGGTCGAGTGTTCTCTGAAACGTGAGTTGCTGTGATATCAACAGGGATCCTTACATTATACACCTGAACATTGCCTTGTCAATGGTGGTTTCCCCTTGTTTTTGGAAAAAGCCATGTTTTGAATGTGCAAAATGTATCTTTTAAGGAGCCCTGATCAAGGGACAGCCTGTATGACAAACGAAAGAGCCGCAGTCTCTCAGACAAGACCTGAAAAATCCACACAGTCAGGGTGTGTTTCACTGTTCGGCCATTTCAGAAACCCCGGTTGCTTTCTGCTCGCCTGCTAACAGTTTAACCTTTTAGTGGCTTAATGGAAAACCCATTAGGTGGCAAAAAGTTAAAGTCCATCACATCCAAGCAAAATGCACCAAAGAAACGGTTGACACAAGGGGCTTAAGCAAATGCAGGTTGTTTTTGCCTTTTTTCCCAAGGCCGCTGGGCATGTGAGGAAACCAGAAAAAGCCAACTCCGAAATCCATGTTTAGGGCGCCCAGCTGATGACACGTAGCTGACAAACATCTTGGCTGAGGAAATGATGGCATGGGACATTCGGACCCGAATGTCCCAGGCACAATCGCATCCATGTGTGCCAAAGGGCAAAACAAAACATTTCCAGTAGTGATAGATTCCCTTTAAAACCACAAGGGGAAAAATTAAGAAATATTCTTCAGCAAATGAGACAAGGCGCTGGGCAACTGGGCCTAAAACCGCCGTGAGCTTCCGAGTAACCTCCCCCACCCACCTCGAGCCAAAGCCAAAGCGCGTCCGAGGCCGAGGCTTTGCCATTCTCCCTCACCTGCGGTTGGGGGAGTTTTTGGAACTCAAATGTCCATGGGTCAAAATCCAAATCGGACCCCCAGTGAACATCCCAATCCCCAGTAAACTAGACTAAAATGGGTGGTGCACCTACCCCAAAATGGTACAATTGGTTTTCACCCACAGCCAAATTGGGTTCCTGGAGGCCAACTTTCTCGATGTGGGGGGGGGGCTCGGTCTTATGGAGGTTCCGGTGGGTTAAGGCACTTTGAAGCTTCCTCCCAAACCACTGCCACTTCGCATATGGATGCTTCGGATTGAAGAAGCCAACCCTGCGATTGGTCACACAGACAGACACACCCATGACCGGAAAATATGACTCTGTAGCTGCGGTACAGCGAACTGCAGCTTTGGCCAAACCCGCACAAGGGCATGTCTTGTCATATTGTACCAGGATTTGCTTCTTGAGCAAGCAAATTTTTCGGGACATGTGTTGTAAAGGCATTCCACACTTTCCACGGGGGGTGAAGCAAAACATTAGATATCCATTGGAGCAGTGCTTTTTATTTGGTGTTCTGGCCGGGGCTTAGACACTGCTGGGGAGCCTGTGCTGGGAGCTTTGCGGGGCCAGAATTTGTGGAAGGGTTGCCTGCGCGAGGCTTCGCGACAAGACGGTGGCTTCGCGGAGTGACTTCGCGGAAGTGCTTGTAGCTAGTCAATTGAGTGGTGGGTTATATTCTCTTTAATTTTCCATTGACGTATGAAACCCTGCCACGAAACCTTTCGCGAAGCTTCCGCGGTGCGAAGGGTACCTTCCGCAGGCATGTTTCCATGTATAAGTTTGTATAGGTGCTTCGGCGGGGCTTCCGCAGGCAAGTTGCTTCTGGAAACTGAGGAAGGTAGCTTCCGCGAGGGAATTCGTGTGCACGGTTTGCTAGCAAACGTGCTTGGCAACAACCACCCAAACGAAATTTCGAAATCAAACTACTCCCGCAAATCAACATCCCTTCCGCGAGCTCGGGAGAAAAAACCGTCAGGCCTTCCGCGAACCTTCCGCGGCAGTGCGGCGCTACCTGTTTTGTTGATATGTCAACGGAAAAGAAAACACCACTCTATTCCTTTTAGCCTTTTAGCCTTGTAGCTAGCCTTCGCAAAGTGGTGAAGCCACTTCGCTGTCAAACCGGGGCCTTCGCGAGAGGCTTTGCGAGTCGCACACAATGTATCACAGTGCCTGCACCCGAAACAATGCTGCTCATTTGGACCGGGTTGCCTTCAAATGGAGCTGGCACCATTTTGGTGGAGTTGCTAACCCCAACACAAAGCGACCAACCATCTCGTGTGTCTTGAGGAACTAAAGGGAAGCCAAAGGGAAAGCAAAGGGCGAGCAAATTGGGCTTCCATTTGCTTAAGACCCCTGGAAACATAAAACAAATACGCGCAGTAGTGATTAAATTCCCTTCAAAACCAAGCAGGGAAACTAAACTGCTATTCCAGGGTCTCCCTCTAAAAGGCAGGAATTATTTTTAGTGATAAATTCCCCGATTCCAACAAGGGACAATAAACAATATAACCAACTGGAAGGGGTCCCTTTAATCCTTTGGGGATCAAACAAACCCGTGCTCGCTCAATGGCCTCGCCTCGCCAACGGTTGCAGGCGATGCATGAGTGTACTGAGGGAACAGCCTCGGTGCAGGCCCCTGGGAGCCCCTGCCTACCCTCGCTATTTCTTGAAACCATGGGAAAGGATTTACGGGACGGGGAATCAAATGAGCAGGATTTTGTCCATCCACAGTATGATTTAAGGCTCAGCTCAGGAGTTCAGGAGAAATCCGGACAGTAAATCTCAACCGTCAGAAACCATGGACTTAATCAACAAATTGGCCCCGCTCCCCTTCCAGGATGGACCCCGCGCTCCCTGCACATTGATTCGGGGTGGGGATGCCCGTGAGAAGCCTTAGAATGGTTTGCCTCTTTGAGCTGATCACGGTCACTGCGTGAAAAGGACCATGTCACCAAATGGCTGTGGGTCAACACCAATGAGATCCCATTTTGGGGTAGGTGCACCACCCACTTTGGTCTATTTCAGTGGGGATTGGGATGTTGATCGGAACTTGATGGGAGTCAGACCCATGCGGGTTCACACAAAAAGGAGCCGCTTTGGGGTCGGTGCAGGCCCAGCTCTACTTCGACCAGACCCACAGGCAATCGGCCACTTGGCCAGGACTTGAGTCTTCTGAGTGCAGCCCCAAACTTACGTAGGCACCAACACAAAACATCTACCGGTCACATGTCCACTCCAAAATGAGGAGAGCAGCAGGCCAATCGAACTGAGCCGAGACTTCCATGAAAGCTAAACTTGTGTAGTTTTTCCTCATGCTTGCATTTTGATCCACCAAGTCTTTCGCAAACCGACTCAGGAAATGCATGGCCACAGAGTCTTGGCCTTCCCTTTCCCGGAGATCATCCCTGGGTTTATGCCTACCTTGGAAGTGGACCGTAGTCCACTTTCACGCTCCAAAAGCGGGGAAATCAAACAATGAAACCCATTTTCCAAACCCGAAGAAAAAAGAAAACACACACACACAACGTGAAGCTTCCCGGTGTTCATGGCAATTCGGCCACCGGCCGTTTCTGTCTGGGGCGCGCCAGCTCCCTCCAAACCTCTCGTCTCAGGCTTCGGCTTCTGAGCATCTCCGTCTTGACGGCCCAGGATCTCATCCACCTCGCCTGTCGCGACTTGACCCAGAAAACCCGACGGCGCCGTTGGCGGCGGCTTGCCAACAAGTCCTGCTGCCTGCTGCTGCGAGAAGTAGGGAACGAGGGAATCTAGGTCCTTCTGTGAGGTTAGAATAAGGGTACCCGACTTTTTCTCTGTAGTCTAGTTTGGTAGGGGAACCCTCCGCCCAAAAAAAAGGCAGAGAACTACTGGGGGACCTAGAAATGAACCTGGGAATTCCCTGAAAGGAAACTACCAGTTGGATGGTTAGGGTCATCCCCTCCTTCCCGAAAATGAGCACCAGCAAGCGGATTTCCTCTGAGGATCTTGGCCTTCCGGGCAAAAGAACACATCCCAAGCGAAGCGAATTCCTTTACGTCAAGAGGATTCCTCGAAACATGTACGGGGTCAACACGGGCCAGTCAAGCTAGGCTAAAATAGCCTATGAACAGGGAAAAACGCACACACACACAGTGTGTGTCACACACACACCAAAAAAAACAATCATCCAAAAAACACCTTTACAAGGATTCAAATCCTCCAACTCAGTTTTCAGCCGGCCACTCAGGGTTGCTCCATATCGCAACCCCCAAACTGGTTGGTCTTCTTGTTTCTCTTGAAACCAACCCAAAGAGGATATCCTCCGCCTCAAAAAAATCCCACCCATGGGACCCAGTGCCTGCTATTTTGTGTCGATACTCTTTTCAGGTTGGACTGAAAGAACACCAGAAGCAAAGCTACCATTTAGAAAGTCCACATCCCAAAGTTTTGACACATTGCGGATATCAAGCCTTCATCTTGGATCCCTCAGTTTTGGCGTATCTCCACTCTGAGCCCAAGCTAAATTGCATTCCTTTGGTCACGAATCTGGAACCTCAGCAACAGCCACAGCAACAACAGCAGCAGCAGCAGCAGCAACAGCAGCCGCAACCGCAACCACAACCACCAGAACCACAACCAGAACCACAACCAGAACCACAACCAGAACCACACCATCAAAAAGCAGCATTTCAAGGCGGTTTCTGACCAGCACAAAATCCCCAAGGTCCAATAAACCAGTTCGAGAAACGTAGTGGGCAAGCAGCAACTCACGGCCACCAACTCCACTTACCCGGCCTTCCAAAGGCCTCTCCCTGCCCTTCAGGAACAGCTCGGAGTCCACGATCTCAGCGTCGGCGTGGGCTTTGGCCAGTCCCGTCTACACCGACAAAAATATGCAAAAAAAAGAAACAACAAAAAAAAAAGGGTTCCGATGGCCAAAGGACACTAGGTCCTCCAGTGAGGTTAGAATAAGGGTACCCGATTCTTTTCCTGTTTTAGTAGGTGACCCCTCCCAACCAAAAAAGAAACGGAAAAAAAAAAAAAAAAAAAAAAACGGCGCCACTTGCTGGTGGCCAAAGGACCAGCTCCAGGCCTTCGCCTCCGCACTCGGAACCCAAACAAAATCAGACCGCAGAACCGGAACCGGAGTCGGCTCAGCTTGCGCATAGGCCTCCTTTGGTTGGACCCCCTGGAAGCGCAGAACACACAACCCCTCCCCCGCGGGCGCCAAAAGGGACCTGAACAAAAAACACAAAAAACAAGTAACCGTGGTGGTCAAAAATGGGGGAACCCCAAAATGGCTGGAACCCTGGTAAATGGAACCCACTGAAACCCGCGGTCCAACTCCTGGTGTAATTTTGACCCACACCCAATTACTCTGTGCCTATCTGTTCTGTGCCTATCACAGTCTTCAGCTTCCACCATATCCCAGTTCTCTCCATATCCCTTGAGATTTTCTCAAAGCAAAAAGCCACCTGGAGGCATTTGCAAGAGCCTCAAGCTTGAGAATGCCAGATTTCATGGACCATGACTTTTGACAACACGAGTTTGGGCCGGAGTCCAGTCAGCGAAAACACAGGCGCTGCTTGTGGTCTTGATGTTGACAGTTCTTGCCATGTATATATATATATATGTATATATACCTGGACCCTCAAAAAGGAACATGTTTTTGCTCATTACGTTATTTTTGCTCATTTTGCCAATTGAGCGGAATTTCCGAAATCTACGCGGAAACTGCAAATTTCATGTTCCGCACCCATTTTGTGGCAAATCCTGCAAATTTGGCCACCAGAAATGCGCGGAAATCGGCGGAAAATGCGCGGAAATCGGCGGAACATGCGCGGAAATCGGCGGAAAATGCGCGGAAATCGGCGGAAAATGCGCGGAAATCGGCGGAAAATGCGCGGAAATCGGCGGAAAGCCCAAAACCAACTTGTTTTGAACATGGCTGGTCGAACCGAAATGTGTGTGTGTTTTGGGTAAATGAGCGTGTTTTCCAACAATGCGTGTTTTTTTGCTTTTTAAGGAAAATGTTGGGAAATTGTTCTCAAAGAAGATCTAGGTATATATATATATATATATATATATTTGGGCTCCACGAGTAGATGAAACAGGCGAGACAGCTATGCGGCAAACATGGTAAGGCCGTTTGTCCGGCTCTCTTTTCTCAAAGTTCTTTGTTTTAAGCAAAGCGCTTAGGGCTCCCTAATCTTCACCTCCACCCGTTTCCCCTAGCGGTGTCGCGAACATCTGAGTCCGCAGCCTTGCCGCGGGCCCAGTCCTCCCCCATGACAGCAAACTAAGATGCCGTGACCGCCTGCCTGCCCCTGAAGGATATGTTGCGATGGATCCACAGACCCGTTTGAGCCCAAGCGCTGCGATCTGCGAACCACCGCGAATTGAAAGAGAAGAGAGGGGGATGCTGTGTGTCTGAGTGATCAGTTGTTCTGTGGAAAGCGCTCATTTTGCAAATGAAGCAACAGGTCACTTTACAGCAAAGCAACTGCAGTGTCAGACAATTTATAGAATTAAAGGGGGACATCTAGCAGTCTGCATGTCCATCTTAAAATAAGGCTTAAATAGTCAAATAGGAGCTTCTTTGCAACTAAGATGTTAATTCAACTTGAGTAGCATTCGAATATACGTTAAGAAAATCAATCATTCATAGTTGTTGTGTATTCAATTAATAGAACTGAAATATCGTGTGTCTCGAGTTGTTTTCCGTGTTTGGCTCTTTTTAAGGGGCTGGTCAATTGACCGAAACAACAGTACTTTTTTATGTATTATTGTCGTTCCATTCAACATCTAATTCAACTCTGAAAATAAATCTTGGACAGAAATTGAAGCTTTAGATTAAGATAGAAATTACACTTGACTTGTTCTCTGATAATTCGAGTTCAATTTGAACCTCATTGCCACCTTTGGAAGGAATTCCATTCCAAAACAAATGCAGACAGAAATCGAAAAAGCAAAACCCAAAACATCAATCTGGCTGGTCAAATTATTGGTAGACTGGAAATAGACCACACAGGAAACATCGATACATACAGGCAAAAATGAATAAATAACACTGGCAGGGGGGAACTCTTGGCATATTGAGCAAGACCAAACCACGTGCTTTGTCAGATTGGTTTTTGTCAACCTCATCTTGAAAGAAACTCCTTCTCTAAAATGATGCCGACTCAAACTAAAAAACAACAACAATATGGCAAACAAATTATTGGCATAGGAGCGAGGTCCAAGCATTTCCTTTGTCAGATTGTTTTTGTTTTTTGTGGATTTCTATGTGAGTACGATCCAGGCATGTCCTGTTTCAAATTTGTTTTTGTGTTCATGTCTGGTTCGATGTTGTTTTCGGATTGAATCTCACAAAATCAGAAGCCAAAGGTAAGGAGACAAAAGTGGTTGCGCCCAAGAAGCCGCCGCTCAGGACATCCCCTTCTCAAAAAAAAGTGATGTAGATTGTCACTATCTCTTGCCAATGTGAAAGCGGCCCCTCCTTTCAAGGGGCTCCGTTTCTCTCCTCAAAACCAAAGGGTCGACAAGAAAACCTTGCGATGGCTGTTTCCCGACTCCCCTCCCGCCCCATGCCCGCCCCGTGCTTTTTGTTCCTCGGTGAAACCTGAGAGCCACTGCAGGAATGAGTGACCGAGTCGGGCTGCGCATGCAATTTGGGCGTGTCGATTTCTGTTGTAAGGCCATCTGTGTTTTGGCTGAAAAAGGGAAACCAACGGATTTGTACCACAAGTTTGGGGCTCGAGCCCCTATTTTCATTAGCACACCCATTTCTGACAGCAGCAACGCCCGACCCGACTGGTACATTTACATACCGCCGACCTCATGGACTTCACGGCAGGGCGGCGTCGTGAGACGGCTACGATTTCTGAGTCGCGGGTTCCTGTGCAAGGTAATACCCCTGTGCCAAGCGACAAATACTTGATGAGCAGGCTTGGGCAACCGGCCTCAGGATCATCTACATACGTCCCAGTAGAGACAGGCACTATGTGCAAAGATGCTTAAACCAATCTTGATTATTGAACAAATCGCGCCCAACCCTGATGGATAGAGTACGTGATGGCTGGGCGCACATCGGTCGTGCCCGTATGCCGTATTGCCAGTCGTGTAGCTGACAACACATGTGCTGGTGCAATGGCATCCCAACTCGCCGAATTCAGCCAATCCGGCCAAACTATATGGGTGTGATCCACAAAAGGGGTAGTTTCTCTTTGGTTTCCCTACGCACAACCCACCAGAGGCATCCTCAACAAAGACGAGCCCCCCATATAGCCTCACGAGCGAGAGCGCTAAGCTGGTGCCACTTCTCCTCGGCAAAACGAAAATCCCCGATGGCTGAAAGCTATAGGGGGTCTAACTTCTAATGATGGGAAAGTGATTTGCGAGATTGACGGTTGTTTTGGTGTAGGTGCTGTTTGGGGTGCTGTTTGAGCTGCTGGTGATGGTGCGGGCGTGTGACGGCAGGGTGCTGGGGCATGCAGTTTGGGTGCTGTTTTGGGGTGCTGTTTGGGGCGCTGTGCGGGCGCATTTTTATGAGATTGTCGGCCGGGTGCTAGGGGGCATTCAGTCTGGGGTGCTGGCACAGGTGCTATTTTGGGATGCATTGTTGGTGCTGTTTGAGGTGCTGGTGATGGTGCGGGCGCATTTTTGCGAGATTGACGGCCGGGTGCTCTTTGAAGTGCTGTTTGGGGGGGCCGGGCGCTCTTCTGCGATATGAGGGGGGCATGCAGTTTGGGGTTGCTGCTTGGGGGGCTGGCGACGAGTGCGGGGCGCTTTTTTGCGAGATTGACGGCTGGTGCAGGTGCTGTTACGGGGGCGGGTGTGCAAGATTGACGGCAGGGTGCTAGGGGTTCCTTTGCAGGTGCTAGTATTGTGGGATGCTGTTTGGTTGAGGTGCTCTTCGGGCATTGCCGTTAGAGGTGCTGGTGTGCGTTCGTTGGCGCATGTGTCGCTATCTGGGGTCTATGCCGTTGTAGTCTTTTTCTTACAACAACTAGAGCTGATCCCTTGCCCTTTTGGAAGACAGCCGGTTGCCATCCGGTTGCCTGCCACTGGTTTTGGGCATGCGCCATGGCTGCTCCCGCCGTGCCGTTTTGGAGTTGGTACCCTTAGGTGGGGTACCCTTAGGTGGGTTCGGGAAACAACTAGGGCAACTCTCGTTTTTGGGGTCCATGGACGAAATCCATTTCGCACCATGTTGAAACCATGGTCGAGAGTCGCAACCATTGTTCTTTTACATGCGCTTCACATTGCAGATGTAAATGCAACGCGTCAGACTCATTTGTAGTGCACTCACAATATGAATCAGGCAGCCACGGAAAATGATGTTGTTGAACATCGACCACACACTTGTCTTACAATGCAAGTGCTAAAAACTGCTGCACACGTATGGCTGCACCGAGTGAAGCGCGCGGCATTGGTCCCGCTCAAACTACATTGTTTGGACCACCACAACCTTCCCCTCTACTACCCTTACCACAGTAAACCGGCTACAGGTCAAAAGCGCAACCAAAACTGCACTATCGGCCCTGCGCCGAGTGGTGCAGTGGTGGAACTCGCAAAGAGTGCCTCTAGAATGCGGAGCACAACATTGAACGCGAACTGCCAAGCGGCGAACGGCGCCTGAGAAAACATGGGGAACCCACGATCCCTTCCTCCCCTCGGCATGGCCAAAATAGGCCCGCTGGGAACCCGGCTGCTTCCACGATGTTTCCGGACATTGTTGATGAAAAAGACCTGGCGCACTGGCGCCATTTGCAGGCCAAAGCAAACATACAAAATACGTACGTGTGTGTGTGTGTGTGCGGTAAGTGGGTGGATGGGTGGGTGGGTGGGTGGGTGGGTGGATGGGTGCGCGGGTGCGCGGGTGGGTGGGTGGGTGGGTGGGTGGGTGGGTGGGTGGGTGGGTGGGTGGGCGGGCGGGGGGGCGGGCGGGTGGGTGGGTGGGTGGGTGGGTGGGTGGGTGGGGCGTATATGCATGTGCGCGCGCATGTGTGTCTGCGTGTGTCGTGCGTGCGTAGGTGTGTGTGTGTGTGTGTGGTAGCCCGGTATGTGTGATGTGTGATGTGTGATGTGTGGATGTGTGGTGTGTGCGTTTTGCGAGGTGGCGTAGGCGTGGCCGTTGGGCGTGTCGCGTGCGCGTGCGCGGTGCGCGGCCGCGCGCGTGTGCGTGTGCGTGCGCATCGCGGGGCGGGCGTGCGGGCGGGCGGGCGGTGGCGGGCGGCGCGGGCGGGCGGGCCGGGCGTGCGTGCGGCGTGCGTGCGGGCGTGCGGGCGGGCGGGCGGGGCGGGCGGGCGGGCGGGCGGGCGGGCGGGCGTGCGTGCGTGGCGGGCGTGCGGCTTGCTTGCTTGCTTGCTTGCTTGCTTGCTTGCTGCTGCTTGCTTCTTGCTTGCTTGCTTGCGTTGCTTGCTTGCTTTGCTGCTTGCTTGCTTGCTCCTATGCTTGCTTGCTTGCTTGCGTGCGTGCGTGCGGTGCGTGCGTGCGGTGCGTGCGTGCGTGGCGTGCGTCGTGCGTGCGTGCGTGCGTGCGTGCGTGCGTGCGTGGCGTGCGTGCGTGGCGTGCGTGCGTGCGTGCGTGGCGGGCCGCGGCGCGCGCGCCGCGTGGGTGGGTGGGGTGGGTGGGTGGGTGGGGTGGGTGGTTGGGTGGTGGGTGTGTGTGTGTGTGGGGTGGGGTGGGGTGGGGTGGGGTGGGGTGGGGTGGGGTTGGGGTGGGGGTGGGGTGATGGTGGAGTGGGGGGGGGTGGGGTGGGGGGGGTGGGGTGGGTGGGGTGGGGTGGGTGGGGTGGGGTGGGGTGGGGTGGGGTGGGGGTGTGTGGGGCTGCGTGTGTGTGTGTTGTGTGTGTTGTGTGTGTTTGTAATGTGTGGGTGTGGGGTGGTGTGGTGTGTATTGGTGTTGTGTGTGGCGTGCGTGCGCGTGCGCGTGCGCGTGAGTGGGTGTGTGTGTGTGTGCGTGAGCAATGGTGGGTGCGGGTGTGGTGTGTGTGTGTGTGCGTGTGTGTGTGTGTGTGGGTGGTAGCCCGGTATGTGTGATGTGTGATGTGTGATGTGTGATGTTGTGATGTGTGATGGGATGTTGGTTGTGGTGTGGTGCGTGTGTGCGTGGTGGTGCGTGTGTGGGTGTGTGGGTGTGTGGGTGGGGGTGTGTGGTGTGTGGGGTGTGGTGGTGTGGGTGTGTGGTGTGTGGGTTTGTGGGTGTGTGGGTGTGTGGGTGTGTGGGTGTTGTGGTGTGTGGGTGTGTGGGTGTGTGGGGGTGTGGTGTTGTGGGTGTTGGGTGGGG